CGAATGAAATATGAATGATGAAGGTATTTGATAAATCACAAAGTAAACATGGAACACTTGATGACTTATCTCAAAGATGTGTACAGCAGCTTTTGTTAGGAAATTTAGATGCTCAACCTAAATGTCTAAAAGCTATAATTGAAACAATCGTCCTATCTTTATACAGACCTATTCTCCTATTTCCAAGAGAATTGCATAAAGCCAAGAGATAAAATCTTGCCTAATCATATTTGATTCTCTCGACAATTTCGTCAGCTTATGCGTTCTTTAAAATAACTTCCAATCCCATCAATTGTTATTCTAGGAAACAATACATACAAAGATGAAACAATTAAACCAAATAGAACGTGCTCTCCAAGTCAAAGATGAAAAAGGATATTTTAACTTAAACCAAAATAAGGTCCAACTAGGAAAGTAATCTCAAGAGATAAAATATAATCCTATTAAAAATAGGACTAACATAAAAGTATTTGAGTGAAAAAAACTCCAACTAAAAATCTTATAATGAATGCATGATTATGTCATGATTTACCTGAAACCAGTTTCCTTATTCGATAAAGTCACACTTTGAAAATCCAGGATTGAATGTATTGCGTCAAAGCTTCCAGTAAAATATATTCACACACTAATTACCGACCTATGCTAGAGTCTAGGAAATGCCAATACAATTTTCATACTAATACTCAATTGGACCCCAGGGTATCAATTTTATTAATTTACACCATTACGTTTGCAATATCGTCCAATTTCATCATTATATTAAGTTGACCATGTGATCAATTGTTAAATGCTGACGTGTATACTGTGGAACCCACCTACTAACCAACTAGTTCCTAAAAAAAATTATATAAAATGATAAAATAACATAAATTAAAAGAAATAAACTTAAAAAATCTCAACCCCTCCCCAGGCAAACAAACCCAATGCCCCCTATTCACCCCCTCTTGCCCCACACCAACCCTAGCCCCCATCCATCTCTCTCTAGTGTCAGCTCGTGGCGGAACACCAAAACCCAATTCTAGTAAGAAAAAAAAAATGAATGTAGATTTTTTGAGAGTAACAAAGCAACGCACAATTCAAAATTCAGATTTCATAAGCGAAATAAATAAAAAATAAAGGAAGGAAGATTTTTTTAGAGTAACAAAGCAAACATCAATGGAAAATCAAAGCAGTATGATTAGCCTATGACTGGGACGAAGCGGCTACGGAACTAGAAAAATGGAGAAGCTTGATTTCAACTTGCGTCGACTCGACGTCTGAATATGTTCGCGATAGCGGCGCCCCCACCCTTTCCCCACCATATCACCCTCCCTCTCTTCATCCCGCTTTCTCTCTATCTTCGTCCCACTCTCCCCTAGCTCCCCTTCCCTATCAATATATACAAATTATGCTTGGAGTGAGGTATGGAGGGATAGCCTAGGTGAGAGAGTTGTGCTCAGAGGCTCGTTTTCTCGCAGAACGATTAGCAGCCTCAAGGAGCATAGAGCCCAATTGAAGAGCGCGATCGATAAACTTGGTCTGATTGGCATCGCAGGACCTAGACTAGAGAAGCCTCTCGAAGGAGAGGTCGATGGTGAAAGAGGGGGGGAATTGGAGAACTCGAGAAGATGGGATGGAGGAGAAAGGGATGGAGAGAGAGACAAAGGGACGAGAAGAGGGAGGGGGGCTTGGGTGGGTGCGCTATAGGGGTGGTTGCAGTTCGGTAACCGCGAATTTTTGCCCAAACTGCAAACCGACCGACTATTTGCGTCGTGAATTAGCGGTTTAAAACCGCAAGTTCTTTTTGTGTCATAAAAATCCAACTTCTCAAGCATATATAAATTCACAATCTCCTCAACTTCTCAAGCATTCACAATCTAAAGAAAATTAAAGTTCAATTCCAAGCATTCCAATTAAAGTTAAACTTTTCAAGCATTCCAATTCCAAATTTTTTAAAGTTACAAACCAAAAGGAAAATGCAATGCAAAATGAATTAAAGTTACAACCCGAAAGAAAATCTAATTCAAAGTTAATTAAAGTTACAAACTAAAAGGAAAATGCAATGCACCAATGTTACAAACTAAAGTTACAAACTCAAGTGTTAGTGGTGGTGAGTGGATTTGAAGAACCCCGTTGTGTTGTTTGAGAATCAGAGAGTTGAGAGAGTGAGATCGCATAAGGAGATAAGAGAGGCTTAGGTCTGATCGCATCTAACGGCTACGATTAATGGGTGTGAATAGAAAATATTGTATGAAATATGTTGTATGAAATATATTTTACATATAATATAATATAGACAATATTATTTAAAATATATTTTTAGTACACACTAATGCCTCTACCATTTTAGGATGCAAAGAACTTCTAAAAGGATCCACAATTCTCTTGCCTAGGCTAAAAGCATTTTCACTAGCAACCGTAGAACTTGGAATTGCAAAGATATCCTTGGCAACTTGTGAAAGAATAGGATATTTTACATATAATATAATATAGACAATATTATTTAAAATATATTCGCGGTTTGCGGTAACCGCAAGTTTTGAAAATCAAATACCGCAACCGCAACCGCAAATGCGGTTCGGTTTACCGCGATTGCGGTTTCATTGCCGTAAATTATCGGTTGGTTTTTGCGGTTTTTCGGTTTTTTGGTATAAAATGCCACCCCTAGTGCGCTGTGTGTCTGGTTGTTTTATTTTTTATATTTTTATATATTTAGTTTTTGTTTAATTATATATTATTTTATCATTTTATGTAATAAAAATTTGGGAATTGATTAGTGGATGGGTCCCACAGTAGACACGTCAGCATTTAACGATTGACCACATGGTCAACTTAACAGAATGATGAAATTGGACGATGTTGCAAACGTAAGGGTGTAAATTGATAAAATTGATACCCTAGGGTCCATATTGAGAACCATTCCAAACTTGTAGGGTGTCTTTTGTCGTTAGCCCATTCCCTTTTATTAAAGGGTTAAATAACCTTTTTGGTCATTGAGTTTTACACGAAATTTCAATTTGGTCGCATGGAAAAATATTTAGCAAAATTAATCACTGCATTACCCAAATTTTACAATATGTAGACTTGTTGTTAGTTTCCATTAAGTTAGTGGGTTAAAAACCTCTAGATTTTACACGGAATTTCATTTTGGTCACTCAAAAAAAAAAAAAAAAACCCATGCAAATGTTATGCTCTTGCAACTTTGTTATAAACTTCTTTTTTACTTTTTATTTTTTGTCAAATCCATGTATTGACATAGTTATGGATTTGAATTTTTGTGAATCTGAGAATGTGATAATGATTGAGAGAAGGGCGGAACTAAACAATTTTCAACGGGTGGGCTAACTAAATTATTAGCTTGAAATCTAATAATTTTTTTTGTTGTACCCATAATTTCTAAAGTTTTTCTAGAAATAAAAGGATTCATTAAATCATATCTACCACACTAATTTATAGGTCCACCCAATAATTTTCAATAAGCTTTAACATAAAATAAGTACATATTAAATGAACACAAAAAAGCTTCACAAATGCAAATTGCAAAAATATAAACAATTAAGTTTTGCACATATATTAGTTGTAAGCATAAAAACAATGAAATTAGAGCCATATTAGCAAATGGGTGAATTTCACTTAGAAAATTGCTTCTCTTTTGGAGACAAATCAATGAAAAATATTAAAATTGAGGAGTTAGAGTTGAGGACTAGCGTTGATGTGGGACAATTTTTGACAGTGGCCACAACACGGAAGACCTTTAACTATATGCACTGGCATTGGTTGTGTATTGTTATATATGTATTTAGGTTAACATAGCGGGTTGTATACGCAACAAAAATAATAGTAGGAAGTGTATTCTTTTTTTTGTTTTTCCCCAAAACCTTCCCTGGGCTATATCCCACAGGAGCCGAAAAAACTTGCCTGCACCGGGGATAGGACTGTTGTCCTATTCCCGGTGCATGCAAGTCTCACTCCACATGAGCCCATCTATGTGGTTCCGCCTGTGGATTAAGATTATAATTGGAGCTTTTTGGAAAGATGGATTTGCCTTTCTATGTGGTGTTAACCCTTGGTGAATGATTAAGAATTTTCATTCAGATATGAACTTATTTTATCATGATATGATTATTTTTTTAAATCTCTTTGCTATTTGTTACCTTGATTATTTGAGGGGATTCTTAAACCTTATTAATATGAATTAGTTAAAGAATAAGTTTAGCTTTAATTGATACTACACCTACCATAAATTTTTAGCATATGAGCAACCTATGCAAGAGCATATCATTTTCATTGCTTAATGACCAAATTGAAATTTCATATAAAATTCAATAACCAAGAGAGTACTTAACCCAACCACTTAACGGAAACTAAATGCATTTCTATAAATTGTAAACTTTGAGTAAAACAATAACCAATTTGAAATTTCCAATAAAATTCAGTGATCAATTTGAAAATTTCTATAAAATTCATAGACCAAAAATATATTTAACAATTCTTTTTAATATTGAAAAATAAATAGCATTGTTGGTGGTTCTTCATTTACTAGCTCCAAGCAATATTGTATAGGTAAATATTCTTAAGCGCTCGAACTACAAGCCTCTTTCATACTACAAGCCTCTTTCCTTTAACTAAATGTTATTTATATGCATGAATTAAATAAAAAACAAGGTTGCATCTCTGTGTAAATTCTTAAATACGGGGAAGATATTTTAAAAAAATGTGATTAATCTATATATCTTATTTGAGAACAATCAATTTGTTGATAAATCGGCAACAAATCGGTTTCCATAGAAGAGAATTTGCATATGTTTTGTACTGCGAAATGAAATCACTATAATAATGGTTAGATCCACTTAGAAGCCCCCTAGAGAGGCCATCTTGCTCTTGTATTAGATAGCCACCCACAGGTGCTGTGCTGGTAAGCACTGAACCTATCAAAACATATTCTAAGAAAGAAAGACGCACACATTTTGGAATATGCATTTGTGCCTGATATAGGGAAGCTTGACAGGGGCTATCGGAAATACCCATACAAAACCAGACAACCTTACTCAATACTGATTATATGGCCATCAAATTCAATCAAAAGTCAACCCGAAACTGCGAGGAATCAATTATTGTTTTACCCTCTCGTGAGTCATATCTAATTGAAAAACCATCCATGTCAATATAGACCATAGCCTTCATCCATCATTTACAAAACAGATCATATCAGATAGACATATAACACTTCCAACAATTGGCATACAAGATGCCTTCTAGTGGTAACCAACGGGAGCTGGTGCCTCTCTCAATTCCTTGCCCTGAAAATGAATATCCTGCATACACAAAGGCAGACAGAATCCGGAAATCCAGAATTAATAAGACGAGCCTTGAGATAATGTAAAGAACACGTGAACATGGTTGTCTGTTTATAGGAAAACAGGCTAAAACAGACACGGGTGCTCATTATAGGCTTCACAAAATGAATTAGAATCGTGAAAGCTTCCACAGAAAACAGAGCTCAACACATCTAAACAATTGACAAACTTGTAAAACCAATGAAAGGCATGATAATGGAAAAGGTGTTTAATACTCACAGATGCAAAATGGTTGACATCTCGATGATGAGCTTCATCAGCACGAATCACAGTAATAACATCCTTCAGTGTAGAATCTTTAGGAAGCCTCCAGTAGTCAATTGCGATTGCAGGAGCCCGTACATTTTCAATCTTGCCACTATCGATATCCTTCAAATACTCTGTATAAGAGTGTATAGCCTCCTCCTCCAGATACCCAACAACCCTATGTGCCAGTTTGGGGGACAGCACATAAAGAACAAAGAAGGCATTGAAGAACACTCCCTGCACAGCGAGAACCAGTAGTCTCTCGTACCACGCGGGCTTCACAAGTTCCACCATCGTCATGAGGTGCATCCTCTCATTCTCTGCCTCTTCAAGTAAAGCCTTGATCCAACCACCACTCTGCTGGAACTTGCGGAGAGACCTTAAGTGCAGTAGCATTCCTCCCACCATACCAGGTACAGCTGCCACAGTTTCCAGCATCATTGCACGGCACCCATACCGCCTCTGAAACATACATTTCACTAGTTCAGAACTTCAGATCATATTGGAAAGAAAAGTAAAAAAAAAAAGGCTTTAACCATGACTTTTAACTAGTATGATTATGAACAATAACTTAGGAAGCTTCTACACAGATTACAACTCCTGACAACAAAGATTGCAAATGTTTACCCACAAAAATCAACAAACTTGACATGCATTTACAATAAAAAGTGGTTCCATTTTTCGCCTTGAAACCCAAGAAGTTATAGAGCTAACTACATTTCCCCTAATTGATGTTTACGGAGAGATTCCCTTAATGGAATGTAGATAAACTAATTAAAGAATACCAGCTATGCATAACTCTGTGACCATATAAGCAATAACAAACAGTCTGATCAACAACGCTGTTTTCTCTTCACACCAATGTTCTCAGTAAAATTCAGTAAACAAAAATGAGAGGAAAACAATGATAACATGAACCAAAAATATTCTACGATTGACATGTTCTGCTTCTTGTGTCAATCGATTGTATTGAAAAATTAGTATTTGCAAAACATGAAAGAGATTAAAAATAAGCAAAAAGTAACAAAAACCTGAAAGAAAACATCAGTTGGAATCCGAAGAAGCTTGACGGTCCTATACGCAACTCTGTCCAGAAACGTCTTCGGCACATGATGCTTGCTCAGATCAATCGACAAGTCTGGCTTATAAGTCTCCCATGGCTACATGGATTAAACAAAATTCAAGATCTGCTAATTCATATATATAAACAAAATTCAAAAATTCAAAAATATATAAATATAATTCTGACTAGTGCTTCTAACCATGAAGCAATTCCAAGGCCACTCACTCCCGTCCTCCCTTGTGATCTTCGGCCTCTGAATCCCCCAGTAATTCGAAACGACAACGCTATCACTTCCTTTCTTGGCGTCGTCGGAGACCGAGCTCTGGCTCTCCTTCTGCTCCTTCTCCCCCAGCGACGCCGTTTCAGCAGACTGCGGCACCGTGCTCATCATCCTCCTCCAGTAAAACCCGCCCAAAACGTCACCGTTCCGGTGATTCAGAAACTCGGCGCCGTCCAAAGGCCTGACGGGCACCGCCGTGGAAATGTAGCGGTTGCAGTTCCGGCCGCCGAGCAGGCCGCCGACAACCGACCTCACCGCGATCCGGTTCATCTTCTACGGTCCGAGAGGGTTTTAGAGATCGTTAATTTGGGGTTTTTTTTTGTAATAAATCGGTTACTTAGTTGATTTTGTGTGGCTTTTGAGTCTTCAGGGACAAGCAGTAGGGACATATATTATATATGGCAAAGGAGCAGAAGTTACTGGAAAGGGTTTTGATCTCCTGTTTCGCGGGAAGATCAAATGATTTTACGCCGTTTGCTTGGAGAGCAAGTTCGGCATTTATTTCTTCCATCACGTCAATCTCGTTGGACAATGGCGGTTATGTTGTGTGTGTGTGTGTGGGTGGGATTAGTAATTCTCTGCGCTCAGTGCTACAATTCTTCATCTTTCTCCTAGAAAATTTATTTACTGTTCACCTGTGTGCAGAAAAGTCAATGGTAAAATCACTGTCTTGACCAGCAGCAAAACTTGAGTTAAACGGGGATAGTCAAGTGAAAAAAATTTCACGTATGACGTATTGTGCTCGATGGAATAACAAAACAGTTATATTTTCGTTCCAACTTCCACGCAAGTGTTTTCCACTTGACCTGACCCTGTGTGTAATTTTATATGTGGAATTACGGAATTACCCTTCGCTGGATTCGAAGCACCTAGGAGACGTTGTCATGGGCATTGCTGGGTGGTTCGGACAATTGCGTGGCTCCATCTATTTTGGACACCCGCTTCCTTTTGTCTAAATGTTTTATGTGGAATTACGGAACTGCCCTTATCTGGATTCCAAATACGCGGGACTTTGTCATGGACACTGCTGGGGTGGTTCGGACAATTACGTGGCTCCAATTATTTTGGACACCTGCACTTACGTCGCTGCTACTTTTTAGTGACACGTGTACGACGGTGGTATTTCCAAATAGCACCGGCGGACTTTTATATTTCAAAATTCGTCATTGAAAATTCTGTAAAGGCAGATGTGGGGCAGGAACCATGTACCAGTTTTCTAATTACAATTAAAAAAGGAAAACACATGGCATGCACTTTAATTTAATTATCAAATTTACTTGCTTCCCTAGGAGGTAGAAATTATCAAACATTCTAATCATATAGAATTGGGCATGCTCCAATGGAAATGACAAGCAAAAGCAATTAGATTTGTCAATTTGATTATTATTTGTTTGCACTTTTTCAAGTCAAGTCAGGTGTGCACCAGTTGAACTTTCCCATCCTCAATGTTGTGATGTATCGAAGATGTGAGTTAGGCTAATTAGTGTACTCTTTACACTCGAGTTCGATTTGTCTTTCGTAATTTCGTGTAATTTAGACTATCACTGGTATATTAAAAAAAAGGGGCTAACTCATCCTGATTATAAAAATATGCCACTATATCCAATCAAAACGAAATTAAGAAGATAGAAAACATGCTGTTTACAATCTTATTAGATGTGTTTATATAAATCATTTATAATCTTTACGAATATACAAGAGAAAGAATTTATTAGATCATAAAGAAAGAAAAAAAACTCTTTTAATTCTTGACGTACATACAAGATGACTTTTAGTGATAACCAAGGGGAGCTGGTGCTTCTCTCAACTCCTTTCCCTGAAAATGAATATCCTGCAAAACAAAACACAAAACAGATGAGAAACCCAAATTGATAAGACACACCACCTTAAGATAAGATTATTTTGAGACAAATAATGCTGCTCCATGTATCAAAGGAAGAAGTAACAAAAATTGTAAAGATCATGGAAAGGCAATTTATAATGCTCACAGATGCAAAATGGTTGACGTCGCGATGGTGAGCTTCATCGGCCCGAATCACAGTGATAACATCGTGAAGTGTGGCATCCTTAGGCAGCCTCCAGTAGTCAATTGCGATTGCAGGAGCCTTCACATTTTCAATGTTGCCATTTTCAATATCCTTCAAGTAATCTGTGTACGACTGCACAGCTTCCTCCTCCAGATACCCAACAACCCTATGAGCCAGTTTTGGGGAAAGCGCATAAAGCACAAAGAAGGCATTGAAGAACACTCCCTGAACGGCGAGAACCAGAAGCCTCTCGTGCCACGCGGGCTTCACGAGTTCCACCACCGTCATCAGGTGCATCCTCTCATTCTCTGCCTCTTCAAGTAAAGCTTTGATCCAGCCACCGCTGTGCTCGAATTTACGGAGAGACTTCAAATGCAGCATCATGCCTCCCACCATTCCGGGGACAGCTGCCACAGTTTCCAGCATCATTGCATGGCACCCATGCCGCTTCTGCAACATGAATAATGTTCAGTTTATAATTTCCTCCAACCATGTCAACTTTTTATGTTCCCCTTTTATAATTTACTAAGAACAAACATCGAAATTCCGAAATTCACAAATTCACAAGCATTTTTACATTGATTCAAGCTTGTAACAGAGTCATAACATAAAATCAAAACAAAAGGGGAAAAAAAGAAGATGCGAGTGAGAAGGTAACAAATCAAAACCTGAAAGTAAAGATCCGAAAGAACTCGAAGAGACTTGACAGTCCTGAACGCCGTTTTGTCCAGAAACGTCTTCGGCACATGGTGCTTGCTCAGATCAATCGACAAGTCCGCTTCATAAGTCTCCCATGGCTGCACTCAAAATTCAAAATTCCATAAATAAATAAATAAATCATTTCAATAATTCAAAGTAGTCTAATTAGTCCTCCTCCTGACCTTGAAGCAATTCCATGGCCACTCAGTCCCGTCCTCCCTTTTAATCTTGGGCCTCTGAATACCCCAGTAACTGGAAACGACAACGCTACCATTGTCGTTCGAGCTCTCCTTCTTCTGTTCCTTCTCCGCCAACGGCGTCGTTTCGCCAGTCGACCCCGTGCTCATCATCATCCTAGTCCTCCACTGAAACGCGCCCAAAACGCCGTCGCTCCTCCGTCTCAGAAACTCCGAGCTCTCCAACGGCCTCACCGCCACCGCCGTCGAAATGTAGCGATTGAAGTTCCGGCCATTGGCGACACCTCCGATCACCGACTTCAATACGACCCTGTTCATCTTCGTCGCTCAAATTTGGGTTTTTGCTTGTAGAAAATCGATTTGTTTTTTCTTTTGTCGTGGTGAAGCTGAAGCGGGCTTGAGCATTTTATATGGTGATTGATTTCCCTGGAAAGTTTGAAATTCAACGGTAAAATTTTGGCAGTTGACGATCTTGACTTTGCCAACTCTCTTCGTTTTGTCTAGATTCCAAGTCTGTGGGGTTGTATCGGTGCGGTCAAATTGCGTGGACCGATAAAATTCTTGCGTCCCACGTCGGAGTTTAGGGAGTGACACGTGTCCATGTTGGTACTTTCCGGGAAGGGGCTGACCGGCGCGGCGGCTGAGAGAGGTAAGAAAGAATTGACTATTTCAATCATTCATAAGAAAGAATCAAGCATATCCTCAATCCCGATTCCCGACTATGCATCTAGAACAAAAACACAGTCTTATTCGGTATAAACAGTGGCAGTAGTCCCGTTCTCCTGGACCCTGTGGTTAACGACCCTTGGATTAGATCTAAGGGTTGAGAAAAAAAACTGACTAAAAAATTATAATTGTATCATCAAAACACTATTTTGATTATTAAAAATAAGTTAGAAAAAAACCAAACAACCACCACCATCATCCGATTGAAAAGAGGCAGAACTTTCCACCAGCAGGTGATCAACTTCCACCCTTAGAAAATTCTAAATAAAATCTTTAAAAACAACATCTCTATAAAATAAAATAAAAAAAGGCAGCCCCACCACATTAGATCTCCCCATCGCCTGTCTCAGACCCGCGTCCACCTGCCCCTCTCTGTATGTTTCTCGATGACTCTCTATCATGTGGGATGGGTGTGGTGAGAAGAAAAATCCAGTACATCTAGCCACCCACACAACGGTGAATTGTCGTTTTCGGAATCTCGCCCCTCCTCTCGACCAGATTGACACCAATGACCAGATTCTCTCATGGGTAGGGTCCTTCATCGCCACCATTCAAATGGGTCAGTTGTAGGATCGTGTTGAGGCCGCGAACGAGCTCGCTTCCCCTAGTTTGTTGTAATTTCAACCGGAGTTGGTGGCTGTGAGCGTCGATGGATGCAAGAACATGTTCTTCGTTTTCGCCAGAGAGCGTGTTTTGCTTTCTTTTACTTTTTTAATTTTAGTTTTTGTTAAATAAAATTAATATAAAATGATAACATATTGATTTTTAAACTTGTTTTTAATCTAATGGTTGGTGACCACATTTTCCTTGGACAATAAAAGAGAATAAAGCCGAACGGCTATACTATTTTGGAAAAAAAAAACAGGTATAGCCGGGCGGCTATACTATTTATAAATGTAAAAAAACCGGCCTAGCGCTTAAGGGCTCAAGTGTCAAACAGGTATAGCCGCGCGGCTATACGGTTTTTAAAAAAAATACCCCAGCATAGCCGCGCGGCTATACTATTTTTGGGAAAAAAGGACACGTGTAGCGCTACACGTATCAAAACAAGTATATCCGATCGGCTATACTATTTTTGTTTCAAAAAAATGCCCCAGGCTATACGTTGTTGGGAAAAAAAAAAAAGCATTACCGTAGTATAGCCGAGCGGCGATACTATTTAAATATTATATTTTAAAAGTTTAGCCTACCTTTTATTAATTTTTTTTTTTATAAAAAAAGTTCCCTCCTAATTGCATTAGTTTATACTTTATTGATATTAATTGGTTAGTTTCAACATATCCAGAGTGGATATTGAAGAGAGAAATTTCAGAGTAAATCAATATAAGAGTTCAATTTTTTTTTTTCTTCTTTTTTTGTGGGAATGTTTGCTTTTAATCTAACTCGTTCTCTCGAGTGAAACTTGTTGGAGGAGCAAATCAATATTATTCTAATAATTTAATTAAACAATTAAATTAAACAACAAATAGAATAATGAAATTAAATATGGCTAACAATTAAAAACTATTCCAATAGGTATTAGATAAGGACAAATTCAATCAAACAAAAACATTATATAATATTTGAATTTTAAAAATAATTCAAATAAATAAATAAATAATTAACTAATCGGATTTAATTTAAATCACAAAGCCAAGATGTGTATAGAAAACAGTTGGATTACTGAAAAATATGTACATACGTGTATAATACGAGTATTAAACATGAAAATGCTAAATTATTTATATGGGTAATAACTTTGGCAAAGTAAAAAATCAAAGGAGACAATAGCTACTCGAGTAATGTCCTAATAGTAATAGATAATGCTCTAAACTACTCTTATCGATAAAAGA